CCACACACACCAAACAGCACTGTGATCTAGACAGCAGCTGAATAGTCTTGGTCCCATGTCTATTAGGAGCCTGTGTTCTCAAAACAAATTCAGAGGCACTGTTTTTATAGTTTAAAAGTCATGTTGCCTGTTTATTGCCTAATGAAATCTAGGGCCTGATACATTTAAATATTTTTTTAAAGGAATAGAAAGAGTACAATCAAATTACTTTGATTCATTTTATAGTTACGATTTCATTTGTTTACCTAATGTTTTTATTTTGCTGTTAAAAGAAGTAATATTATTATTAGTATTATGTACACTAGCATTTTCCTTAAAGACATTTCCACCACAAGGTGGTGGTAAAAATTGGTGCATATTATCCTCACAAGAACGCTGGAAGTTAATTTTCTGAGGCTCAAAGGTTTGTTGTGGGGATATGAGACAGAACTGTAAACTCAGTGAAGTGGATTTAATTTAAGGTCTGGACTCAGGGAAAGGCCTAAAACAGGCAAGTGGGAAAAACCACTGCCTCTTCTGTTTGTGTAAAGAAGTTTAGCTACATATTTAATTCTCAAGATACAAAAAAAAAGTGGAAGAAAACTTAGTTTTTCTACATGATAGAAAAACTACGACAAAACTAATAGTTTTTTAGTAAAAGAAAGAAATAATGTGCAAAAGAATAAGTTCTGTTAGTTCTAACTGCCCATAAATTCTGTAGTAGACAGTAAAAAAATAGATTTTCTGTCATTTAATTATCTAATACTTTATTACTTTCATGTAGTATGAAAAGTCCAAAATTTACAATCTTCTTCACAACGCTGTCCAGTCGGCCGGAAAGAAAATATGAAAAAAAAAAATGTCCGCAAATCGCAAGTTAAAACTGACTGCCAGGTGCAGCCTGATGGTTTCACTTTAGTAAAACGCGTTTCGTTTTTTACTCGTCTCCAGTCGAGGCCACCGTACTGCGTTGTGCGTGACGCCACGAGCAAAAACAAGGACCACAGGCGAGTGATGAGTAGCTAGCTCCGTTCAACGCAATTTAATTCCTTTATCTAAACAGCTGTTACAATCGAAAGCAAAAACCCACGCGTGAAACATCTCGACAATTAAGATTTCACTCCCGTTTACAAGTGTCTGTAGCACTCGTACCGGACACGATATCACACGAATGCTACAGCTAAATATTAGCTGGCTAGCTGACAGTTCAAATCGACGTCTCATATCAGTAAACATCGCGTTAGGCTGCTTTTTACCATTAATAATGTTATTAATAAAAGCTTATCCCTCCTCACGAGGAATACCGACAGCGGAAAATTGGTGTATTGTTGAATAGAAATTACTCTGCGGTTATGGCCTTCAGCTTACAACATGTAGCAGGATTTTCACAATACACCATTTAATAAAACATCAAACGTCATTCTCCTTTGCATTCATTCACTAAAGCACATAAGCCCCGTGAGTAACAGCTAATAGACAGGGAGGCTGATAGAGTGCACCATGTCGGACCTGGACACCCTCATAGTCACCTTTCAGACCCAGCTTTCAGATGTGATGGAGGCTGTAGTGAAGACAGCCATGTTTGAGGTGACCAGGTTGGTGGAAGATGTGTTTTTGGTGGAGGTGAAGCGCAGGAGCCAGGAGATAGAGTCCCTGAGGATGCAGCTGCAGTGGATTGAGAGCAAATTCAAGGATCAAGCAGGGAAAGAAGGAGGAAAGACTGGAAGGGGCGTGCACTGTGCAAGGCATGGTGTGGAACTGTCCACTGACACTGCAGAAAAAAGGCCTAAAAACCATCAGGAAGGTAAGAAGAAACAGATGTAAAATGAATTTTATATAGGTCATGGGATGCCCTAAATATTGTAAACACTGTTGTGTTTCTGTTTTTTTTTTTTTTAAAGAACAAGTTAGTGTGAAGACAGAGAGTGACTCTTTTGAAAGATGGACAGCAAGCTGCAGACTAGAAGACACATCAGAGTCGCTACCAGAGGCAGACAGTGCTACAGCTGCACAGAGCCCTGAAAGGGAGCCAGAGGTGAGCCAGATTAAATGACTACCAGAGCAAAGTTATGTTGTACTGACATTAAATAATCATCATCTTCTTTATGTATCTGCATTTTATTGGGTGCTTCTGGACACATTTCAAGTGCTATAAGAGCTGTAATGTTGTATAAAAAAAAACAGTATCGATAATGGCTCTAAAAATTGGTGAAATGGAACCAGTAGATATTCACAGTATTCCATGCACTGTATGTCTTCAGGCAGCAGAAGAAAAGGATGTGAGATCAGCTGTTGCTACGAAGGAGGAAGAAGTTAGTCAGCCATCTTGCTCCTCTGTGCATATGGGAGGGTGGAACTGTAGTGGTACGTATTGTTAGGATCTTATCTTTCTTTCAGTCTGTCCATAGTAAAGGAACATTAAGCATTATTTATTGCACAAACACATACCCTCTCGACCCTACCGTGTGCCGTGATATAGCTCCCTATCCCCTCAAGCAGGTGTTATGGTTGACACATTGTTTTATAATTTATTCTTTGTTTTAGGAGAGCTTGACTTGTTAACCTCAACTCAGTTCTGCTCAACATTAATAAATTAATATAATTTTTTTTTGTTATCTCTGTGGCTCCTGGGGAAAATTAATTGCCAGACAAACAGTGACCACTAGGCAATTTCCACATCCTTTGTTGTTGTTCAAACTCCCCACCCCAGTACATGACAGGTTTGTGTTGCAGGTAGGCCACTTTAACATTCAGACTCTTTTACATGAAGAATGTTGAATTAAGCAAGACATTTTCTCAGAAAGGTGTCGCCTGGATTGCAGTTGGTGTTTTTCCAGCATTAATGGTACCTACAATGATGTGCATGCTAATATACGCTCAAATAGACTTTAAACATCTGAAAAGTTGGGAAATTCCTTTATTTCACCATGCAAAACATTAAACACAACCTAGAACACAAAAGATTAGGTTTCTTTCTTCAATAAGCCTAATATGATAAAACAAAGTAGCCAATATAAGGTAAAAATCTTAATAAAGTACAATAGAATATAATGCAAATAGTAGGATATAATACAACACATTAGTATAATAAATTCAGTAAAGTAAACTAGAATAAAATGGCTTTTCAAATTTAGCAGATGACATTAAAGTGACTGGTCCCTATCTCCAAAATGAAGATAGAATTTTTGTTGTCCACTTTACCTCAGTGCACCTAAAAAGGATTCAGGCCCGAAAGAAACAATAACATTGTTGCATTTTTTAATTAATTAATTTTTATTTCCTTAATTTAAAAGAAAAATCCTTATTTTCTAGATGAAGAGGGACCTGGATCAGACAACGAGAGTGGAACAGTTCAGGTACAACCCAAACAGACTGAAGAAAACAGCGAGGAATTATTGAGAAATGTCATGAAGAAAGACCCACAGATAGCTTCGGGTTATGGCTTTCCTGAAGACAGGCAGGAAAAACACCTGTCTACAGATCGACCGCGTGTTTCATCTTTGGAAATAGATACCAGTTGGGCTGGCTTGACTGTCACAGGCGCTGAGTTGTTGCAGAATCCCAGACTTGGAGCTGAAACGGAACGTGATCCAGTCAAAACTAAAGGAGAACATGAGCTGTCTGATTCTGTCAGAGCGGACATTCAGGTTACCCCAGGCAGAGATAAAATTTCATCCTCAGGGTCCCCTAAGGCAAGACTAAAAAACAGTGATGTTTTAGGCCTGACTATCAAGAAGGAAGTCATTCTTGATTCTGATGGATGTGAGGAAGGTGAGCATATAGAAAAGAAAATAACAAACTCAGGTATGTCCTCTTTTTCATGTTCAGTAAAGCAGCACAAGGTGAGTTCAGAAGCACACAGACTAAACCACATTTCTCAAAAAGCTGCTGTGCAAGAGGTTATGAAGCTACATTCCAAAGCCGGTTCAGGTTTCAGATTGCAAGCCGCTTTACAGCATCTCCACCGACCGATGAAAAAGCCGTCTCACACTCTCTCGAACAGTACCGCTGCCGCACTGACTATAGCTCCCTCTCAAGTTGTAAACTTAAATAACCTTCAAAGAATTCCCTCCACATCCAAAGCATCTCCTGCTGTATCCTCAATCCAGCGAGTTCACCTGGGTGACAAACAGACATCAACCCTTAACCGAACTGGAGACTCCTGGGTCAGCAACAGGTCCCAGCACCATCCTGCAAACTCTCACCACGTCAGTCCTGGTACCCATCCAGACTCTCAGTCTCACGCTGCTCCAAGGCATCTCCTACGCTGTGGGCAGTGTGGGAAGTGCTTCCCCCACCCCAGTAACTTGAAGGCCCACCTGCAGACTCACACAGGTGAGCGGCCTTTCTGCTGTTCGCTCTGTGGCCGGAGTTTCACCAAGCTGAGCAACCTTAAAGCACACCGTCGCGTCCACACTGGAGAGAGACCATACTGCTGCTTGGCCTGTGGCAAACGCTTTACCCAGAAATGTAATCTCAAACGCCACCAGAGGATCCACCTTGATGCATGTTGATAGAGATCCAACATACATCATGAAAGGACAACTTAAATATGTGTATTTCTTTAAGATGCTACAGAGCTATGTTGTGTTGCAATACAGTCTGTGTGAGGCTTTGCAGGCCTTCTTTTTAGTATATTTATCTTTTAAAGTGATTGTCCTGAATAATACTGTGCATTCCAGAAAGGTTAATCTAATAACATATAAAAATGTTTTAATGTTACTAAAGGATGAAAAACAAGAATGTGTTGTGTCGTTTACCGTGTGCAAAGATAGGGCAGTTGATACATTTGGTCAGTAAAAGACTGTGAATATGCATATTATTGTGTTGTGTCAACTGCAATGTGCCTGTGAGCACACAAGCACTTGTCAGCCATGGATCAGAGCTTACATTTATCAGCTGTAACATTTATTCAAACTGGTAAGCCTAGCTCTAAAAATACTTTGCAAAATACTACAAATTTAAACAGATATCCACAGGACACTAAAATTGGTTAAGGTGCAGTAGTTAATGTCTGCAACAGCAACTTTTCTTGCTATACCTCTCGTTATGCCAACTTTGCATTAAAAAAATTTAAGTTTATTGATCAGTGCTTAGATTTTGTTTTTAATGAGGAAAATTACATCATAAAGAAAAAGCTTATGACTGCTCTCTTATTTGTAAGGAGCTGCTGCAGCAGATGGAGCCACATATTTGATTTGGCACTGAGTTTTAAGCTGGATGCTCTTCCTGATGCAACCCTCCCAGGGATTTGTGCCTGCTCTCGGGGATTTGTGCCTCCTCCCAGTCTTGTACCGGGGATCTTTCATGTTGAGGGAATGTGTTAACAGCGCTGCCCTCTTGATTACATCATAAAGTAAGAAAAGTCGCGATTGCCATAATCTAGAAGAACATCCATTTAATTAATTTTTAGCAGATAATTTTTAATACAAGAGTTTACAGCCTGCAGAGTAAGTTGATAAATGGTTCCAAGTTGTTCTTTAAAACTTGTTAATAAATATAGGCCCAAATCATTTGATCTAAGAACCCTCCCTCCGGTAACGAAACAGTTTTAATGTAGATGCATCCTTTCTTAGTTTTAAAATTGTACAATGATCGATGATCTGATATTTCAAGATGCAAAGACTTCTTTACCAATGTCTTGAAAAGTGCTTCTTTTGAAAAAACGATGTATCATAAGTGATGGTAAATGGTAAATGGCCTGTATTTATATAGCGCTTTACTAGTCCCTAAGGACCCCAAAGCACTTTACATATCCAGTCATCCACACACATTCACACACTGGTGATGGCAAGCTACATTGTAGCCACAGCCACCCTGGGGGGCACTGACAGAGGCGATGACTACATTCATATTTAAATATTCATTAATCGTATCTGTTTAAGTAAAAAAAAAAAGCCTTAAAATAACCCTGATATTAAGGTTTTAAACAATATTGCAGTATCTTAATTGAACACTTGGTGTCATCCTTTCACCAAACTTATTGTGGCAACGAGGACCTGGGCAGAGATTTTTTTTTTGTTGAGGATTTCGTATCCTCTTGTCTTGCTTCTAATGTAATAATGTAATATAGAGGTGCTCTCAAAGAAAACCCCTCCATTACAGTAACAATCCGTGGTAACAAGTGTCTGTAAGCACCGTTTTAGCTGATCTGTGTGCCCAGACCTGTGTGTGTTACATATCTTACACTCAGGATTAGGCTTGATGTGTTGTATCTGTGAAGTCAGAGCAGCACTGTGCAGGTGGTACAACCGATAACATTTTAATCTTATTTTCAAGGTGAGGAAAAAGCTAGCAGAGGCTGATCTCTTTCTCCCTGTGTACATGTATGCGTGTGTGTGGAGAGAGAAAATGTGGATTAAAGCAGTGCTTCTGTCTACAGATGGTATCTTTCCTTTTTGATGTTTGAACCCAATAACAAGAGAAGTTATCTGTGAGGTGTAATTAAGAAATACCTACTTAGCTAAATCTGCAGTGAGCATAATAGATAGTGCTTGTTGTTTGTGGGGGATTGTGAAACTAGTCTGTTTAATGTGTGCGGTGCTCAGTATACCTAAACATTGCTGTATGCATCGCGCAAACATTTACCTTCTGCCTGTGCATTTCAAACACTCTTGTATGAGTCATCGTTTTGTTTTAATTCCATCGCTGGAGCGGTTTTTCTGAAGATGTTTATTTGGTTAAAAAAAAAAAGCAAATACAAAAAAGACCAAACCACAATTATACTTTCATTTTCCCTTTCCTGCTCTCTTTTGCATTTGAACACGTTTCCCTTTCTTCTGAGACTCTTTCTGGCCTGTCAGGGAATCATAAGCCTCACTAAGTTGGTAGCCTTATGAAGAATAGGAAGCTGTTTTTTTTGTGTGCAGGTTGGTCTTTCTGACTTTTTCTTTGGTGACATCAGAAAGCCACTTCAAGCTGGGATGCTGTTAAGCTTGATTTGGCTTAAAAAAGAAAACATACTCTAAGAGAGGAGGAAATTTTTGGCAACCCTCCACAGAGATTTTGTTCTGAGCCAAGACAAGAATTATAATACAGGCATTTTTAAACCAATTTTGTTAAGTAGAGTTTCATTTATTCAAGCATGAAATATATTTTTGTTTGTCCAGTAGTTAGAAATAGAACATTTGTAATCGCCCCCCACAAAGGCCTGTAATGGTGGTTATAAAAGGAAAAATGTGGGCTCTCTGCCTCTGACTTTAAATGCTTAAAACAAAATAAAGAAATCATACAACGAGGCCTGCAGTAAGTTGATCTACTGGAAATAAAGTCATCACTGCTACTGTGCTGCTGTTTCTTTTAATTTTGTCACCTTCCTCTTCCTAAAAGCAGAGTAATAATAATTTCTTTATATTTTTACTAATCAATAGCTCAGTCAAACTAGAGCAAAAATAGCACCGAGACTGATGGCAACTAGAAAAAATCAGGGATGGACTGTGGATTTTATTGAAATTCGTTGCACTTTGCAAACAATTGCAAGTTGTGTGACAACCAGCTGGTTCTTTAAAGTCTGAGTGTGCAACACTCTCCACCTGTGAACAACCACTTTCAATCTCAATGTGACTGCGCAGGTCACCTGGTGATAGACAGCAGACTGTGAGTGGTCACAGACCAGTGCCCTGTGGCAAATATTTTCATTGGGCTGCTGTCTCCAGTCACTGTTTTTCCTAGTGTGACTGTAGCATAATAGAAAAATCAAGCACATCTGTATGCACAATATTTTGGTATTTTCCATTTTTGTTTTAATGGCCTTGGTGTCTGGTATCTTGGTCTAAATAATAAGCTACCTTAAACCTTTGTGTAATGTTTTCTCTTGCCCTGGCCTGCAAATGTTTTTTTCCTAGTTTTTCTTGCTGTGTGAGTTCACCTGTAGTATAAAACACCTAAAAATTATTATTATTTTTTTGGTGTAAGCTGTAAGTCCTTGCATTTGTTATTACCACATCACCATGTCTTCTTTCGTCTGTGACTCTTTGGCTGATCTGATCCTTTCGTGGCTTTCAAGAACCAAAGAAATGATCGCCCAGTGAATCTTTTAAGACATGTTTGGACAAATGATAACTGGAGAGCATAAACAAACTGTATATTGCCATATTTAAGTTGGAGGACTTGTCAAAAAATGTAGTCACCTGCTATTGTTGAGTTGTCCAAGAAAAGGGCATAATAGTCAAATAAGTAAACCAGATGTAGGTTATAGCAAAATACTATATCACACAAAATCAATAGGGCAAGAAGCCTTTCATACTCTTCCAGAAAAGCTATTCTTCCTCCACAGTAAATGACACTTTATTGTGACAACCCTTTATTTAAGCTTAAATACACAGAAGCCTGTAGTATATTCCTTCACATTCAAGACTCATATTGGCCTTGCCTTTCCATCTCCCACTGTTTTTAATATGTTTCTAATTGTAACATGCAATTCAGCATTGTCAAGTGTTTTTTTAGCTACTGCCTTTCATTACCTTGAGCCTGTTAACACTTCCCAACGCTGGGAGAGAGACAAAGGAATCTGAAAAAATCTGACAAGAAAGGATGCTGAAAGAATGCACCATAAAGAAGACATGTAAAATTCCTAATATTCAAAGAACTGTCACCCCCTCGTACCCAGTTACAATAACAGTAGAAGTGCTTGACTGGACCTAATAAGTTGTCTTCATAGCTGAAGTGATGGCTATACAATAAAAGGAAAAAAACACTTTTCTCTGCTGTGTCAAACCATTTCAATATTATATTCAGTACTTTCCAGGCCAAGGAGCGCACTGTGGAAGATTTATGTCATGTTGCAAGGCTAGTGTGCCTTATTCATCACACCTTCATATTTCATAAAAGCAGTATGATGTGTTTTTCATTCCAACCTTTATTCTCTGTTTATTCTTCCCTGTATGCTCACTAAAACTATTTAGAAGTAAGTTTAATACCTTGAGACCTTATTCTTATGAACACGGCACTACTTTAGCTTATTTCTACTAAGGTGGTGTGAGCAGGCTCTGTATTCAGAAACATTTAGAGAATACTTTCAGCATGCTCAGCCCGTCTTCATTATGAAAATATTCAGAAAGGAGCTTAATCTTTTAGTTATAACATTTTGATGACCATTTATTAAATCTGTCACACTAAAACGAGTAACATCCATTATTAATTTCTTCTCTCTTTACTCTCTTTTCTTTTTTTCCACCTGCTTCTCTAAAATGTCTCAACCTACTTCACACACCCTGTCTTAATGTCTTAACATTCATTGTTGTAAGACCACTGAAGCTATTAAGATGGGAGTTGAAGACCTTGAGCTTCCCTTCTTTAATTTTATTTCATATGAATGAATAAGTACAGCTATGGTGTTGGGACTACTTTTTTTTTTATTTTTACCTAATATAATATGAACTTGGATTGTATTCACAAACATTTAGAGAATACTCAAGGGAAGATCTTGAAAGTTTCCATAGAGACTCAAATCTGATAGAAAACTGGACTTGAATCTTTTAGATATGATGTTCAGTCAATTGAGAAATGCTTGCACAACGCATCACTCTCTTTTATTTCTTTCCTATTTCAACACCTACCTTACAACCATTGCCTTACCAACATTTATATAGATTTTTTTCTCTAAAGATCAATCCCCGTGTCTTTTATGAACTCCTGACCTTTCCTTTTCAAGGCCTCCATTTGTGGGCTCAAATGAATTGCTTTGGCAACTGCTTTATTGAGTAGGGGGTTACACTGATGCTTGGTGCAATCATAGACTGCATATGAAAGATGGATGTAGCCACTATGATGTTAACCATTGGTTTCCTATCTCTATTTTTGATTTGGATAGGCCAATAAAGCTGCCGTGAGAGGTGAATGACGCAAAACTCTTCACTGTCCAATCAATGGTGAGTGCTAATTAGCAAATATTAGCTAGTTCTGGAGCTGTAGTGAAAAGGCGGTAATATTTTCAATAAGATTAAATGGCATAAATCTAATCGAAGTCAGTTTAAAAGATCAACACACTGACAACCTGTCTTGCTGCGGAAAGGGGAGGATTGATGTGAGATGGCAATTTATAACAGGACTAGGGGAGCTGTGTGCACTATTTTCCGTACTCTGTGCTTGTGAGCAAACCAAGTGGCTTGTTAGTGCATCCAATTTAACAGCTATCCAGCATTTTGGCTAAACAAATCTGAAATAACTGTCAGGCTGCAGAGGAAAGCCTTGTTTTGCTCTGCAGGTGGGCTTTTCTATAACGATGCAATAACATGTGAATTGTCAGGTCAAAATTTCATTCTCTTCAGTTTTGTTTTTTTTGTTTTGTTTTTAGAAGAATCTTTCCAATCAGCCTAGTCTGTGCTTTGTGTTTAGGGGCTGTTAATGTTTACATGCTAGCCTGCTGCACAGTGACAAAGACCGGTGTAAAAAGCATCAGCATAATGATATTGTTACTGCAAGTATTTTAGAATGCTAACATGAGTGTTTAGCTTTAATCGGTGATTAAAAAAGCCCTCTCACTTTTTACATTTATTTTTATGTAACTACCTGCCTAATATTGTGTAAGTCTTCCTTATGCCATCGACATAGCTCTGACTGACTGATGTACTGTGGAGTCTGGCACTGGAACATTGGCAACAAATCCTATGGGCACAGTGGGTTACGGGGTAGGTCCTTTGCGGATCGTGTTTTTCACCAAGCATCCAATGCATGTGCAGTCAGATTGAGATCTTGGCAGTTTGGATCAGTTGTAGTAGTTT